AACTCTTTCCAGGATTGATTCCTGTACGTTTGCAAGTGGTCTGGTTTGAGAAGAATTTAAAAATTGCTCACGTCACGCTTTATCGGATCATCTCGACGACTTCTCCGCAATGCTGCATCTCGTTGCCTTTTCTCGTCTCTTATACAATAATTGGATTATTACGCCGTACAGAACGTTCCATTGTGTTGCGCTCCCGCTCTGCTGCTCTATATTCAGGATCCGTTCGTCTGATAGAGCGTTCCAAGGTTTTTCGGTTTTACTCAAATTCAAAATACGCAAAAACAAAAACAGTTAAAAAAAAATAATATAAAATATTAGTAATTATAATATTGAAAAAAAATGCTGATATTTAAAAATGATTTTTGCTTTCCGTTTATTTGTAAAGTTATGTTGTTGAAAGTTTAAGCACGCGGTGAGGTACACGCTATTTATTGAATATTTTAGAACTCCTACTTCAAACCTGTAAACTCTTTTGCTGTTCTTGGAATTACCTAGTAGTTTTCTTGGAAATAGTAACGCGTTAATTACACCCGCTCTATGCTCAAACGGGAGTTAAAGGAAATATTATATACTTAATATTTCAAAAGAGGTATTTTAGGAGTTTTTTTCCTATGTTTTATATTATATAAACCACCTATCCTTCAACCTATGTTTGTTTGTTTCATAAATACTGTTTATTTTAAAACTGGACGCTTATATTTATAATGTTATGCCGTGTTACTATTAATTGATAATGATATATGTGGAATAATTAGGCATTTATTTATTATATGGCTAATTATTATAAATATGGGTTTCATAATTGTTTAGCACCATACTCGTCTTTGTCTATTCTTAACATAATTTTCGACTTATTTGTCTCAATCAGTTAGATGGCATTCTTTACTATTCTATTTGTACAAGTCAAAAACGTTTCCGCTGATATATCATAACTTTAATCATCTGTTTATAATCTACTATATATAACACGACTCATTATGCAATGCAAATTATCAGGGAATATTGATTAGTTCCGCTACTCGCTAATTATAGAAAAAAAGATTTCCTTGAATATTACTCTATAATTATATAATATTATTATATAATATAATCAAATTTGCTGAAGATATCTTGGGAAATAAAAAAGTTTTCAATACAAAAACTTGATTCCGATCTTTCAGTTAGTTGTAGTAGCCCAGGGTTACTGTTTGTTCGATTCGCTGAAGAGTACCGCTTGGTGAATCGAAGATAACTAATGAAGGGTACCAGAGTAATTCACGTATGTTTCCAAACTTACAAGCAATAATAATCAGGTGAAGTTGTAGTCGATAGTCCTCCCGGTATTTAGACCCTTTCTAATTTCATTCACAACATTTGGCGCCAAAATGTGAGTTTTATATAGACTTACTCACTCAATCACCTTCGTTGTGCGCCAGGCATCACATGTGGACATAAAGTGGGGCAGGCTCAGCAGGATTCGATTTGAAAATAAACTTTAATGAGTTCTGCAGCACATTAGCCTGTCGGTGGCGCTCGTCGAAAAATAAAATATAATAAAAATAACAACAAAATTTGATGCGACAATTGATTTACAACGCGAAAAAAAGAATGGAGAACAGAAATTAGGAAAGCACACACGCACAATTACGTCGGTTTGTTTATTTCTGCACCTCTGGGCGCTGTTGCCGTTACGGGAAGTGGTGAGTATACGCGACCGATTCCTCCCCGCCTCTTTCCAAAAGTCATTTGATGTTGCATGCAACGTTGCAGCGTTGGCCTCCATTACTAGAAGAGTGCATTTGCATTGCGTTGAAAATTATTATTAAATGAGAAATAAATACATACATACATAAAGGCATTGCTATTATCTTCATTGTTGGTGTGATGTTGTTTGCTGCAGCTATTACTGCCGCCGGGATTTGTATGTCTAACAATCACCAGTAATGACAACAAACAAGATGGCAAATGTAACAAGTAAGGAAGGGCTAAGTACGTGTGTAACCGATTATTTCATACTCTTCCAACTTTCAGAAAACAAAGACGAAGGAGCACCTTCAAGTTTTGACAAACCTTTATATCAAACTAAGGAAAAGTTTGGCACAAGTTATAGTGCGCTTTTGACAATTTTTGGACTTAAGATGAAATACCTTCAGGGCACTATTTGTGCAAAGTTTTACCATAATAACTGCATTGATGTTTGATTTGTATACTGTAAAGTGAAAGAAACAGACGGAATTTAAAAGTTTGTTATATGGGAATTAAGCGTATTTGACAACCGATTTTGCATTTTTTCAGTGTATAATAGGAATGTAACCACACCAAATTTGATTGAAATCGGTTGAGTAGTTCCTGAGATATAGGATTTGACCTAAAGGTGGGCGGCACCACGCCCATTAAAAAAAAATTGTCGACAAGTTTCCCTGGCTACTGCATCTCCAGTACCAAGTAACAGTTTCGCCTCTTAATTTTCGGCTGAGTTGGCACTTTAAAAGTTTCCCTGTAAGGCCTTTTTGTGGGCGCGGCAATGATCCGATTCCGCCCATTTACAATACCAACTTTCCCTGTCCATTAGATAAAGTTTGCGTACAAGGTACATAAGTCGTGCAGCACACGAAGCTTAACTATGTCTGCTGTATTCTTCGGGTCGTTATCCTGTAAAAAATAGCAGCAACTTCCATGACGAAATTCTACCGATTTTGATGATGGACTCTATACATTCCATTTGGCTCACACAGTTACTAGCTATGCACCCCCATATCATTGCTTGTTCACCACTGCTCTTCACAGTATGCATCAAGATTTCCTTATCGATTGCAGTTCCCGTTTTTCGCCATAAAATCTTACGCCCCTTGACTCCAAAGATGCAAAACTTGCTCTCATCAGAAAAAATAACTTTCTGCCAAAACTCCCGGGGCTTATTTAAGTGCTCTTTGACGACAACCTTATGCACTTACCTTTTGACTAGCGATATGACTGAGTTTTTGTGTGCGACTTGACCATAAAACCCTGTTTTTTTTTAACTTTGGCGAATGGTGTCGGAGAGGGATTTCTTAACATTTTGATCGATTTTGGATGCACTAAATCGATGCAGCGCCGAGATACAAAAACGCCGGTATGTTTGTACTTTTTTATTTATTATTCTTTGTATGATAGAAAGTCGACCTATTTAAGGGTGTGTTTCTTCTTCGAAAAGTTTAACCATTATTTTTCTTTCAAAAGGGCTTATTTTTTTCTTTCAGGCGAAATTCGATGTTCTATTAATAACAAAATAAATAGAAAAAAATCCTTTAAAATTGCTGCTTTTACGAAAACAAGTAAAACTATGACTTTCCGACAACTTTACATTTGGTTATTACGTAGTTCTCGTAGACTTTTTCTGCGCTGCCAAATTATTTTTTTTTTGCAAATTTATCTACAAAACTGTGATGTCAGGCTTTCACTGTTTTAAATGCTATGGGATTATGCAATATACTAATAATAAAGCACTTAGTATGATAATGCTCTAAAAAATTATATATAACAAGTAAGGAAGGACTAAGTTCGGATGTAACCGAACATTTTATACTCTCGCAAAGTCAAATAGTATACTCGTTTGAGATTTCTTTGTGGATTGACTGATATTTTCGGTAGAAGGTCAACTATAGGCACTAGGGTCCACTTATTTAGTACTTAGGGGCTTAAACAGTTTTGGTTCGATTTAGACAATTTTTAGCCACAAGGTGGCATACTTAAATCGCATTATTCACGCAAAGTTTTATCCCGATACAGTCATTGTTGCCTGATTTGCATAGTGGAAAGTGAAAGAATCAGATGGAATTTAAAATGGTGTTATATGGGAAGTAGGCGTAGTTGAAGTCCGATTTTGCCCATTTTCGCACTTTGACATAGAAACATAAAAAGAACGTTATGCACCGAATTTGGTTGAAATCGGTTAAGCAGATCTCAAGATATGGGTTTTCACCTAAAAGTGGGCTGTGCCACTCCCACTGTCTAATTTTGAACGCGGTTCCTATAAAGTCATCTCATACCATCCCAGAGATAAAATTTAATGTCGCGCTTTTAGTAGTTTTTAACAGTACTGTTATATGGGGAGTGGGCGGAGTTGCCACCCGATTTCAACTATTTTCACACCGTCAATAGAAGTGCTAAAAACATTTGCTTCTAGTGAATTTTGTTATTATAGCATTAGCGGTTTAGGAGATATGCACATTAAACCTATTAGAGGCGGGACCACGCCCACTAAAAAATTGTAACTGCAGATGCCCCTCCCTAATGTGATCCTGTGTACCAAATAACAGTCTTGTATCTTATTGCGGAGCTTAGTTATGGCAATTTATTTGTTTTTGATTAATGGCGTTTTGTGGGCGTGGCAGTGGTCCGATTACGCCCATCTGCAATACCAACCGTCTCACGGTACCAAGAAACATGTCTACCAAGTTTCATAAAGATATCTCAATTTTTACTCAAGTTACAGCTTGCACAGACGGACGGACAGACAGACAGTCACCCGGATTTCAACTCGTCTTTTCATCCTGATCATTTATATATACATAACCCTATATCTAACTCGATTAGTTTTAGGTGATACAAACAACCGTTAGGTGAACAAAACTATTATACTCTGTAACAAGATTATAAAAAAGTTCCGGATTCGCTTTCGTTTTTCTTTTTTTTTTTTTTGATTATAGAAATGGGTAGTGACTCATGTTGTTGGTGTGAAATGAGGTGAAGGAAAATGTGGGAATATTTATTTGCCCTTTATTGTAATTCTGTGTGCCTTTAGCAAATACAACATTTTAAAATAAAAACGTACAATATATTCTAAATTGCTCCTGTGCCTTTGCTGCCGTGCGTTTTAGCATAGATGTGGCTAATAACATTTAAGATGCGTGTACATGCGTATGTAAATCTGTTAGTATATTTAATATTTTATTTGCATCTACGACATGTACAAATCTGTGTTGCAAGTAGTTTTTATAGTCGAGTATTTTCATAAATTTACGTATTTATTTTTGTTGTAGGACTTGAATTATACATGCAGATTGTTTTGTCAGTACATTGGAAAAGTGGATCTTGAGAATTTTTGAAATTAATTGGTCAACACAATCAAGAAAAACGTTATATCGGCTGCCCTTAGGCTATAATAAACTTCACAGGATTAAATCTATGCCAAATTTCGTTAAGAAATATTGTCAAATCATCAGTTTGTATGGCAGTGGTCCGATATCAGCGGTTCCTGCAAATGAGCAGCGTCTTGATGAGAAATACAGATGTGTGCAAAAGTTTAAATCGGTATATCAACATTTAAAAGACTGGTTAGCGTATATACATACAGACAGAAGGACAGTATGTTAGGAAAGGTTAAGTGGAGGTAGAATCAAATATTAAATAATCTAGTATGGTATGGGAGTACTTCGAATATAATCGAAGACTCTCTCTTGAAAATTACAGACGATTTGAATCGATATAAAAAGTGAACACATAGCACAAAGTTCGATGTTTGGTTTGTCTCTAGTTTCAAATCTCTGGTTTTTAGTATCGTTTAATTATTAGTCCTCAAATTCGATATTAAATGAGTATTTTTCCAAAATGCCTCGTGCGAAGATAGCACTTTCAAACGGTTGGGGACTAAACCTTACAAATTTACTAAATTAAACCTGAAATAAATTATTTCTTTAATTACAAAACGACAAACAATACATATTTTGATATGTAAGTAGGTTTTAATTTGAGCAAAAAAAAAAACAAAAAAATTGCAAATATTCATTATCATAAAAAATCGGAATTAACCAATCATCATGAATGCTTAGATCATCGAAAAAGGACTAACATGACATTATCTTTTGTATGCCGATTCTAAATTATTGATTATTTCATTTTAAAATCGCAACAATAATCATTATTTACAGTCCGTGCTTACAGCAGCTCAATGGAACGTATATTGGTTATATGTCGTGAAAAATAAAAAGTCAATGTTAAAACATATCTTACATAAAATAATCCGTTTCCTTACATATTTTTTGTATTTTCATTTTATTTCATTATTTTTTCAGGTAAGAGTTTCTACGATTTAAACTACGCCAAGATATGCAATGCCTTTAAAAAAATTAAATTATATGGTAAGTTAGTGATATAAGCCAGATGTTATCAATCCGCACGATTTCCAAGTCCAGGGATTTTCAGCGCTCTAGCGCTCTAAGACTCAGAACTGAATACCTAAAGCCCTTGAAAATATGGTGTATTCTACATATAATTTTAAATTATGGTTTAATAAAACGCTTTTAAACGTTGTTGTAAATTTATTACAGGAGTATTATGTAGCAGGCTTTCAACACTTTTAATAGTCACAATTTTGAAGTTATATTTATTCTGCCAACGCTCATTATGACCTCATTCCGCAGAATACTAGTCTTCTACTTTATTTCTGCATCATCAAGAACAGATTGCTGCGCCTTCAACTCAGTTCAAGTACGTAAGCGTATCCTGTGTATCAGAGTGCGCGGGTATTTGTGGTAAGCAATTAAAATAAAAGTCGGTTTGAGGTTAAGATCGACGCCTTTTCTGGCATCCTAATAAATTCAAACACCAAAAAAAACTTATGTGAATTATTGAAATTGCAGCCGGAGCCGCGACTCTTCTCGCTTTGTGCCAAAGATTTTTAATAGAGTAGAGCTGCGCGTCTTTTATTGCTGCTTTTGCTATCAAGTACATTGTTCTCGCGCTGCTGCATCGTCAAGTGTACGGCGTGTAGGCACAAAAGCTGCGGCCGAGTGGAACCCCAAGAAAAGCACAGTCATAACTGAGCTACATAATAAATCTTAAGTGCTAAGCTAAACCGACAAATCGCGACTCACCAGCTACCGAAGCCACTATCTTCCTTTTGCTCTTTCACTGGCGTCCTATATTTCACCAAAGCGTTTTGCTTTGCGCTCGATCGCGCACCTACGATTTTATGAATTGTACGAGTTCACTTCTTCAACTGCTGTTGTGGTTGGGGGAAGCAACACTCAGACTTGCGGTGGCTTTCGACGCTGCCAGCGTATTTTATATTCTTTATTTATGTGCAGTTTTCCGAGTTTTGTGTGGGTATTTTCTTTGGACTTATGAGGTTTTCTACCGCCAAATGCTTGTATATAATAAAAAAATACATATAACAATCACTTTACAAAATATAATATTATATATTGTATGAATGTGTATATTCGTATAAACTTAATTAAGTATTATTGTTTAGAGATCTGGAATTTATAAAGATACGAAGGGATTCGGTCTTTAAATTTCTTCTCTGGATTTACGACCCTATTATGTGAGGCTAATGGAGTATACATATGTCTACTTGCCCTGGCTAACATAACATAATTTTGCATTGCGGTTGGATACTGAAGCTAATATACTTGAAAACATAGATGACAATCCTTAGTTCACATTTTAGAGAAGCATTACGCTTAAAGTAGTTGGCAGCGTTGGTCAAATTAGTGCAAAAGTAAGTGAAATAAAATATGAAGGAATGGAAAACAATGACATTTTTGATAAAAACTAATAAAAGTGCTATAACTCAATAAATAAAAGCGTCAGAGAAATAAAATTTTGCACCCGAGATGATATGAAAAGGCTTTATATAGGAGCCAATATCATAATAAAATTGGTGTGGCACTGCCCATCTTTAGGTGAAAACCCATATCGTGATCTGCTCAGCCAATTTCAGCCAAATTGAACACATAACATTACCCTGACATTTTTATGTTTCTGTGGACGCAATCAATGTATCGAGATAAGGCTTTCCACGAATAGTTCTTTTAAGGTATGTCATCTTGCGTCCAAAAATTGTCGAAATCGGACCAAAACTCTTTGAGATATCGAATACGTGGACCCCCGTAACAACTGCTAACTTTTAACCCAAAAAAAAATACCGGTAACAGTCTAAGATATATGTATAATTTAAATTCGGATATAATCCTTTCCTGATAAGGGTATGTCTACAAGTCAAGAGTGAGTTCAATCGGGACAAAACTTTCCTTAGCCCCATATAATTGTACATAATCTAAAGACTTTCGTAGTTTTTTTTCGCATATCTCGGCCAATATGTGAGTTATCATAATTAAATTGAGTGAGCGTTTTATTTTAATAACGGTGCATCTTTGTGCTTAAATTAATAAAATCGGGGAAAACTTGCCTTAACCCCCGTATAAGTAATGTCACCATTTTCAAATCTCCGGCTGACTTTACTTCATATACAAGTATATTATTCATAGTATGTAAGGTAACTTAATGGAACTCAGGGAGCATTTTGTATTGGGAAAATTTGATAAAATCGGGTCATCACTATTCCTATCTCCCTTATACCGAATAAGGCTTTAAAATTTCAGATCAGGTTTGTTCCGTATATATAGGTCAATATGTAAGATATCTTAGAAAAACGAACTTACAGCATAATATTGTATATGTTATAGTTATAACAAAACTTTAAATCTAAAAGCACACAAAATCAATAACTAAATTCTTCAGAGACATGAAACTTTACACCCGAGATAGTACAAAAGGGCTTTATAGCAGCCGGTGTTAAATGGACGAAGGGCGTGAGCAGCGCCCGCATTTCGTGCAAATCCATATCACGGGACCTACTCGACCAAATTCAGTATGTAATATTATCCTGACATTCTTACATTCAAAGGTGCTAATAAGCAAAATCAGACAAAAAGCACGCCTACTTCCTAAATAACACAATTTTAATTTCCGTCTGATTCTTTCACTTTTCAGTATACAAATCCAGAATCTATCAATGTATCCGAATAAAACTCTGTACAAGTAGTGCCCTCAAGGTATTTTATCTTACGCCCAAAAGTTGTCGAAAGGGAACCCAAACCCAAATATGTGGGTATTGTTAACTTTTTGCCGAAATTATCGGTCAAGCTATGAAATATATTATTGAAATTCGGGGAAAATGTTTCTTTGATAATAATATACCCGTGTTTCAAAAATTGATTGAATCGGATCAGTACTTCCCATAGCACCTATACCTAATATAAAGATTTTCGAACTTCCAGTTGACTTTATACCAAACATATCGATTTTATTTTATTTTAGTGAAATTGAGAGAGCTTGTTATACCCTGAACAGGGTATATTAAGTTTGTCACGAAGTTTGTAACACCCAGAAGGAAACATCGGAAACCCTAGAAAATATATACATAAATGATCAGCATGATGAGCTGAGTCGATTTAGCCATGTCCGTCTGTATATATTAAAACTAGTCCCTCAGTGTTTAAGCTACCGGTCTAAAATTTTGGACCTGCCCTTTTCTCACTACGAAGCCGCTCATTTGTCGGAACGATATCGGACCACTATAGCTTATAGCTGCCATACAAACTGAACAATCGGGAGCAAGTCTTTGTATGGGAAACTTTTTTATTTGATGTAATATCTTCACGAAATTTGGCATGAATTACTTTCTAATGCACCTATGTAATTTCCAAAGAAACTGTTTAGATCAGAGCACTATAGTATATAGATGCCATACAAACTGAACGATCTGAATAAAGTGCTTGTATGGAAAACTCTTTTATTTGACGAGGTAACTCCACGAAATTTGGCATACATTATTATTTAAAGCAATAGTGCAATCTCCAAAAAAATTTTATAGATCGGATGATTAAAGCATATAGCTGTCACACGAACTGAACGATCGGAATCAAGTGCTTGTATGTACAACTCTTTCAGTTGACGAGGTATCTTCACGAAATTGGGCATAGATTAATATTTAAAGCAATAATAATCTCCGAAGAAATTGTACAGATCGGATGGCTGTGACATATAGCAGTCATATTAACTGAACGATCGGAGGAAAGTGCCTGCTTCGAAAACTTTTTCACTTGACGAGGCATCTTCACAAAACATTTATGTCTGTGAAGGGTATTATAGCTTCGGTGCAACCGAAATTAACCTTTTTTCTTGTTAATTCGGGTAATTGTCTGTCCGTCCGTCTGAGGCAGCCACGCCCACAAAGCGCCAGTAATCAAAAACAAATAAATTGCCATAACTAAGCTCCGCAATAAGATACAAGACTGTTATTTGGTACACATTAGGGAGAGGCATCTGCGGTTAACACTTTTTTAAAAAGTGGGCGTAGTCCCGCCCGATTTAATGTGCATATCTCTTAAACCGCTAAAGCTATAATAACAAAACTCACAGGAAGCAAATGTTTATAGCACCTTTACCTACAGTGTGAAATCGGGTGACAATCCCGCCCACTCCCCATATAACGGTACTGTTAAAAAATACTAAAAGCGCGATAAACCAAGTAACAATGATTATATCGGCGTGAATAACACGTTAAAAGTATGCCACCTTGTGACCAAACATTCTCTAAATCGAACCAAAACTGTTCAAGCCTCTAGGTACTAAATATGTGGACCCCAGTGCCTATAGTTGCCTTCTACCGAAAATATCGGTCAATCCACAAAGAAATCTCAAACGAGGATACCATTTGAATTTGCGAGAGTATAAAATATTCGGTTACATGCGAACTTAGCCCTTAATTGTTTTAGTATAATTTTCCCAGGCGGGAATTAAAATATAGTAATAAAACTAAGAGATGCTATGATCATCATTATACGTTAATATGATACCAAATTTGATTGTAATCCATTTACGATTTCGTCGAATCATGATGTTTAACTGTTTCGAACCATTTTTTAATATTGTCAACATCTGAAGGTATTTAGCCTGATTGATTCTTACAAGTTGCAAGAGTAGAAAATGTTCGGTTGTACCCGAACTTAGCCCTTTCGTACTTGTTGTTATTAATTTAATAAATACATGTGTTTTTATATATGTCGGATCTGACCTTGCGTGTCGCGAAATTTTTGAACTAAAACGAAAGCAGCTACAGTAAAGTACTTACTGTACTGTACTATTTTGTTTTACTTTTTAATAAAATTTTTATTACCGCATTCGTATAGCCCGTATAGTATACACCATTTTTTTAGTATTACAGAGTT